CAGAGGAAGGCAGGACGTGGTCCAACGGAGCCAAGCTCAGGGAGCCCAGGTTCCATTTGGATGCCAGGAAGCACTTCCTGACAGTCAGGACCACGAGGGTATGGAATGGGCTTCCGTGGGAGGTGGTTGAAGCCCCATCGATGAGGGTGTTCAAGGATAGGCTGGACGTGCACATGGTGGGCATGTTGTGAGCAGAGCCGGCTGGAGCCGGGGGTCAGACTAGATGGCCCGGGAGACCCCTTCTGACTCACTCTGTTTCTATGTTTCTGTTTCCCCAAGGCCTCGAAGTCCCTGGTGATCCCAACCACACCCTGCCTGGCCACGTCGTTTGTGCCCATGTCATTTGAAACCACCTTTACCCAACAGACTTCTGAAGCAGGTCCTCTGGACCCATAGTGCAGGGACGCCCCTGGAGAGGCCTGCTCAGGTGTGACCCCTTCCACATGCCTGACAGCCTTGAGAGGTTAATGCTGTGTCTGAAGGATGCCTCCGGGATACAGTCGAGGTGAAAGAGGCACGATCTAGCCTCCACAACCTTCTCCTGAGCCGGATTCCAGCCAGAGGTCAGGAGACCAGAGCCAGGGCACGCTCAGGATGGGCCACAGGCAAAAAGTGCTGCGACCAACGGTTAGGGGGCAGGAATCCGCAGACAGCTGGAGCTAGCCAGCTCCGAGGGCACGCTCGGAGGCAAACCCAGGTAGTGGCTGTTGTGCCTTCTCCTTCCCTGGCAGGAGTCTGCCATCACGTCCCCATCACTGCACCAAAGACAACAAAGAGTCAGCCATTCTCAGCTGCCCTTCCACCCACCGCAGGTGGCCCCTCAGGTGCTGTTGCAAAGGCTCTGTTTACCCAACTGGCATTGTTAGCACCACCCCGGCAGCCGGGGAGAGGCGGCAGCCCGTGGCTGATCAGCACGGGGAGCAGCCGGCACGCGCTGCCGCCGGGCACAGCCGGGCTTCCCCAAGCCCAGTCCTGGAGAGAGGGGGGCAGGCCCTAAACACGAGCCCGCACTCTGAAAATGCAGCAGCGCATTAATGTGTGCACGCTGCGCATGACCTGGAGGATCTGGTTTCTTTTCCGACAAAGGAAGCCACTTTTGGAAAACGGGGCAAGGGAGAGCTTCCCAGTATTCAGCAGCACGATTCATCCCATGAACACATACAGAGACAATAACGAGCTTCCTTTTCAGAAGGGAGGACCAGCAAACCACCGATCGCTCCGGAACTGGTGCACTGTGCAACATTCAGGCCACCACAAAGCAATATCCAAGTGCTTCAGGAGTCATGCTAACCCGTCTTGGCTGCCGTGGTGCTTTTGCAGAGCTCTCGAATCATGTGATGCAAACTGAAATGCACGACGGACCCTCCACCACAACAGCGAGCACCCGCCAATTGCTGCTTATCGGTGCCAGGAGTTATTTCCAGCAAAGGATGCAGCAGTTCTGAAGGGAGATGGACTAACTGTTGGATGGCCAATGTAAGCCGCAATCTTGCGCGAAAGGCGCGGTTCTGCTATTCTGCTCCTTCCAGAAGTAAAAAAGCCGGGCGGCTCCTGCTAATCCAGAGGGGTTCTAGAACGTTCTAGTACAGGACAGGAACACTTTCGCTCCCCATGAATTTCAGCTGGACAGAGTTCTGCTGCCATGCTATCTGAGTGTTTGTGGAGTGCCTGCTAAACAATGCCTTCCCGTGTTTTTTGTCCAGGCGCCAAATTCTGTCCAAATTTTCGGTAAAGCAGTATTCTTTTATGATACACTCAAGACCAGTAAAGCCAAGGATCTCTCTGATTCTTGGTCTTGCAAGAAGCAATTCTGGATTGGCAGTGGCAAGCAATTCTGGATTGGCATTTTATACAGTTACGTGTATTTTATATTGTTATTTATGTATTTTCATTTATTTATTTGTAAGCCGCCCCGAGGCTTCGGCGAATGGGGCGGCCTAGAAATTTTCTAAATAAATAAGTAGAAAAGCCAAATCCATAAAGTGTAGCCATCAGTCTACTTACATTTGGAACAGCTCGACGTATCACATTTTCCGAGTTTGTGCGTGCACAATGGATACTGCTCAGCAAAGACCAAGTCAAAGCCGACAAAGCAACAGTCTCTCCCTCTTGCATCCAGGTGAGGGTAGAAACATAGAAACAGAGAGAGTCAGAAGGGGCCTCCCGGGCCATCTAGTCTGACCTCTGGCACCGGCCGGCTCCGCTAGAAGGGCTCGGGCAGACAGCCTTCCCAAATACATGCGCAGCTCCGCTTTGAGAGCTTCAGGAGGCCTAGCTGGTTGTTCTGTGACCAACAAAATATCGCCTTGAAATACCTGAAGCTGGGACTTCTTTGTGGTGGCCTCAACCCTCTGGAAGACCCTCCCCTGTACAGTTCTGCAGGAGGAAAACGTCATACGTTTCAAGTCCAGTAAACAGACCTGTTCACCAAGGCCTTCTCCAGCGCATAAACAAATGCATAATTGCTGCTCCTTCTTACTGTTCTTTCTATAGTTCTGTATTGTTATTCTAGTCTGAAATTGCTCTAATTGCGTATTTTATGTTATTTTACTATTTACACGTGAGCCGTTTCAGCGTTTTTTTATTAGGTTGTATATATAGGCAGGACGGCAGCCAGGCATCCAAAGTCAGTAAAAACCTGAACAAGTCAACTAAATCCCATCTGGACAGGCAAGACTAAGGTCCCGGTGCTGGGATTCGACTGGCTGTAGAGCCAAAAAGCGGCCACGGGCAGGAACGTGTCCGTCTGCTAAGCGCACCATGCCGCCCTCTCTCCAGCCTGCGATGCCCAGTGCTGGCCTTCCGTCCAGAAGAAACACACAGACAGTTTGTGCAGTTTGGACATCAGAGGCAAGAGGTGCTGCTGAGCTCAGTCGACTCAAATTTGGCTAATCATAGGCTTCTATTCCAGATTGGCCTGTTTTATATGTTTCCACCTACAATTGCCAAGTTTACAGTCGCTGCTTCTCACAAACATAGATTAATAGTATTTCCTTCTGGCCAGGTTTGACAGAAAGAAGAAGATTAAGCTCTGTAAAATAGCACACGCAAGACATTTTAGTTCTAAATGTGCTTTTGCAGGACACAACCTCAAGCGTGAAAGGGCAGGACGTGCCTCCTGTGGACAGACATTTTCTGAAACATCTCCACAGCCTCTTTGCTGGGCAGGGTTTCCCGTGTATTCACAGTCCTGCTCTGCAGGGGCGCAATGTCGGAACAGCCGCCGAGCCGGAGCCGGCGCCGGCCACCCCGTCACCACCTGCTGCCCGGAAGACAGCAGCGTGAGGCAGAGGCGCGGAAGAGCCTTCGGCACCCGGGGGCTGCTTTCCGTTACGCGGCGGTCAGAACCAAAGTGACGCGAGACGATCCCCGGGGGCCGGGGGCCAGGGGATTCGGCGTAGAAAAGGCTCCCACTGGCTGCAGGGGAAGGCACACAATGCAGGGCGTGGGCAGCGGGGAAACAGGCGCGAGGGCTGGGCAGAGGCGCGTCCCTGGCGGCCTGCTCCCCGCCCCAGCCCAGGTCCTGAGCGCGCCTCTGGCAGGAGTCCAGTGCGTGGCCCCAGACAAAGGGCCATCCAGCAACACAGGGAAATGTCTGGGGAAGAACGCAGTGGTGGGGCAGCAGCTTGACACAGGCAGAGGAAACAGACGCTCCTGGAGAAAGCAAGCGGGGCGCCACACAGGGGAGTCCACATCGAAGCCACGCAGCCATCTCAAGAGCTGCAGCATGTTGCCTCCAGCACAGCCGGTCAAAGATAGATGAAGAATGGCTGACAAACAAATTAAAGAGCGAGCGAGCGAGCAAGTGGCCAGCTGGACAGCACGGCACGGCTTCCCAAACAGTAAGCGAAGCGAGGCCTGGCTTTGGCCCCAGGGGGAAGGAGCCCCCTCCTGCGAGCAATGGGCCTCAGGCCATAGCAGCAAAAATGCACAGAACAAACAGCACCCCGAAACCAGAGGTGCCTGCAGCCCTCTTGCTCCCCAGTCATGGATGAACGGCTTCCCCGGAGCCATGTGGGGAGAGGCATTCCCCGCCAGCCGGGCACTGCGGACAAGTGAGAGCTATTAGTACTTTCCATGAGTACACAGAGTGACTTTTCCAGAAATACGGCTGCTTTCATGGCCAAATGTTAAATATTTCCATAAACAAACACGCTTCTAACTACTTGCATCAGGTAAACCTGGATCATTTTGCTACGGCCAATTCACATACCGGGGCGGGGGGCACCCCCCGGCGCTGCATGCCGGTGAGAGCGCACTGGCTTTGACAGGCCAGGAGGACAGCCGGTGCATCCTCGGCAGAGAAAGCAATGCTCGTGAGTCAGCCTCCCGACAGGCACTGGGAGCCCCCCCTCTTAACTGTGTGAGCGGAAGGACAGTGGCTCCGAGCCGCAGCATCGTGCAGCAGTGGAGGGCGGGCTGGGAAACCCCCGCCGGGAGGCCTGGGCAGCCGAGCCGCCAGAGGGGCCGGAGCCGGACTCGGTGGAAGGCAGCTGCCAGGGCGGCCACGTCCTCCTGCAGACAGGGCTGGGCCCGCGAGGTGCGTGAGTGGCAGCGCCACCGCCTCGGCTCTGCGCATGACCGTGCCGTATCGCCAAGCCCAGCCCCGTCGAATGAGGCCGGCCGGAGACCCACTCTGGCGAGCGGCCCCCAGGACCCAGGGCGTGGCCAGGCAGCCCCAGGACAGATCCGGCGGAGGAGCCTCTCGCAAGGCAGAGCCCACGAGAAGCACCAGCCGGGATCACAGCCCTTTCCACTCCCAGCTCCGTGGCCGGGGGCAGCCCCCACACCGGCCAGCAAGCAGCTCACGCAGCCACCCCTGGGCAGTCGCTCCCCTGTCCCACAGATGGCGCTCTCACTGCAGTCAGCCCCCTCCCCGCACAACTGGGGCCCCTCAGGGGCACCCGCAGCCCCCGAGAGCCACAGGAGTGCTTGAGGCGAGGAGGAAGGCGGCCCAGCCGGCACGGGCCGGGCCGGGCCTCGGCTGCCGGGCTCCTCACCTGCTTCATCGCCGTCTCACCGATCTTGTCCGAGTGCTTGCGGATGCTCTCCAGGAAATCTTTGAGGTCCGACATGGAAACATCCTTGATCTCCTCCCGCAGTTTCGGAATGTTGTCCACCATTACCTTGCAGAAGCGATAATGGCTCACTTGCGGCAGGAAGGTGTGTTCGAGGTGCTCCAAGGTCTTCAGCGCAGGGTAGTGCCTGGGGGGAAGGCGGCCCTCCGTCAGAAGCAGGCGGCATCACTCCTGTCCGCACGGCCCACCAGGGGACGGCCAGCCGGCGCTGCTGGAGGCCCTGAGGCGGAGGGCCAGGATCTCACCCCACTGCTCTCCTGGTCTATTGAGGTCTGGAGGGGGAGGCCCACGCGTGACCCCAGCACGACCCAAGCCTTGCACCAGGGCTATGGAACCTTGACGAGCTGCCCCAGTGCAGAGGCCGCAGCTCGCGGTGGCTCAACCAAGTCGCAGCAGGTCGCCATGACTGGTACAGCCGCAGCGGGGCTGCCAGGGCAGGACTGAAAGGGTCTGGGGCGGCGGAGAAGCTCCCTCACGACGACCCAGGCACGGATGCACAGCTGCAGCCTCGCACCCCAGCTCCGTCCTGGAGCCTGTGCTGCTGCGCCACGTTGCTTCCGTGTCGCTGCAAGCGCGGCAGGTGTCAAGCACGCTGCACTTCCAGCAGGAGCACTACGCCGGGGCCGTTTATGCACTCAGGGCACCTCCTGTTCCGCTCCAAAGGGCATCCCTCGAGAAATCGCCGCTCTGCCAGGGCACCAACAGTTCTCTGCGCGCACTCCGCCGACCTGCGCTCGCTGCCCGCCCCGCAGAGGGACCTGAAGCGTGGCTGCACCGGGCTACCGGGCGGCAGAAGGGGCTTACCGCCTGCGGGTGAAATGAGGGTCCTCCGGCGGTCTTGAGAAAGGGGCCGGGCAAGCCAGTCGCACGTGCCGGCGGGATCTGGCCGCACTCGGGCATTAAGCCCACCCCCCACCCACAGTGGTCCGGACTGCCCTCTGGGAAAGCAGCTGCGGGGCGAGCCGTTTCCCCTGCAATGTGCGCCACGGGCTCTGGCCCCGGAGGAGAACGCAAGCGGGGCTTGCGGCAGCGAACGTCCCGGCCAAGCGCACGGGACGAATGCGCTCCGTCCGCTGAGCGGGCCTTGCCCAGCAGACTCGCCCACGGGACGGCTCCCCGCATTAAGGCGCATGAGGCCCCCGGAGTGCCCGCCTCGGATCCCGAATGGGACCGGCTGCTCCGCTCCGGGGAGGGGTCTGCGGGGGCGCGAGTGGAGGCAAGACCTCCCGATCGGTCGCTACCCGCGGCCTCACCTTTTCGATTTCATCTGCTCTCGTAACTTGCTCTCCATCTCCAGAACTAGAGCAAAAGAGACACAAAGCAGAGCAGTCAGTCAGAGCAGCAGCGCTGGGTGCGACGGCCACGTGAAGAACCACGCAGAGCCACGGCCCGTGGTCCCGCTTCAAGCCTCTCACCGGGAAGGCACTGGGCAAGCTTATCCACGGTGGCAGAGATGTTCCGCTGCTGCAGCCGGCACTGCTTCAGCTCTTCCATCGCCCCCACCAGCTGCAAGCGAACGAAACACACTTCACTGGCAGGCAGGAGAGGCGGGGGGACCCTGCCGCCGCCCCCGGGCTGCCCCCGGCCTAGACCCCGTCCCAGGACCTTCGGCCTCCATCCGGGCCGATCCGCAGGGGACAAAGCCCCGCTGCCCCCCCCCCCCCGCAGACAGAATTTCCCCACCCCCCCCCCCCCCCCCCCCCCCCCCCCCCACAGCGATCACTCTCCTTACTCATTCACGGCTGGAGTGCGTCGCTTCGCAGAGCGCCTCACCAAGCATGCAGTTAAGGCGGGGGGGTGGGGGGCGGACAGGCCTGCGGGCCAAGGACAGGCAGCTCGGGCTCTTCAGAGGCTCGGGGCTGCCCGAGGGGAGGGCCTGCTCGATGCCGTCCACGCCTTCCCAACGGTCAGGACTCTGGGAGCTGCAGCCTCAGCCACCTGGAGGACACCAGGCTGCCCGTCCCCGCCGAGCACAGTGGCACGAGGGGGCCGCTCACAGGGTCTCCTGGCGGCCCCCAGCACAGGCAGCATCAGACATGAGCGCAGAGAGACGAGGATCCAGTGCACGTGCCACGGCCCACCAGGGACAGCAGGCCACGGCGGGCTTCCGTGCACCAAACCCGGGCTGCCTCCCACAGGGTGGCCTGCGGCTTGGTCCTCCGAAAGGACGCCCTCAGGAGTCACGCTCTGCAGCAGGGTTTCCTCCGCTCGAGGCAGGCTGGGGTCCCCTGCGCCTGGACGCTCACTCCCACGGTGGGGTGCGGGCAAGCGCTTTGGCAGGAGGGACAAACCGCCCTGGCTGATACTGAAGAGCGTGCCCAAGCCACGGCTGCTGCCAGCTGCCCTGCCCATGCCCAGGCGGCGGGGTGGCACCGCAGCCGCCGACTCGCTGCCTCCCCCACCCCGCGTGGGGAGCCCCCTTGGCTCACTGCAGCGCTCGCTCCCCCTTTACACAAGCATCACTTGGGGAGGCACTGGCAGCCCCTCCGCTGAAAAGGACTGGCACAGGACGGGCAGCCCCGGGCTGGCAGCTGGTCCATTGCCACTCCTCTCTCAATCGCCCTCTCGTGCCTCAACTGTCTGCAAGCAAACCTGTCAGCGGGGGCGCTTTAAGAAACGAGCAGAATTGCTCGATTCGGGAGAGGCAGGTGTTCACCTTTCTGTAGGCCTGAAAATGGGAAGTCTTGCCAGGATGATGACCTGCTCTCAAAATATGGCAGATGCTAAGCATGGGCACTGGCCCAGAGAGGCTCCTCGTATGGGGGTTTTTTTTGAGGGGGGGTTGAGCTTTGCTTTGTCTCAACAGTAGTCAAAAGGCGGGCTATAAATTCAAAGCAAAGCTGTGATTTATCTTAGTCACAAAAAGTGAGCGGAGGGAGTGTACTTCCTCAACCCCGAGATCTTCACCTGGCGACAGGCCCCTGTGCCTCAACTCCGGCTCCTTTGAAAGGGGTTCTTCTTCACAAATCCACCATGGGGCTTTTCATGGGGGCATATGGAAACATGCAGTTTTTCATTCGGGGCATAAAACAAGCAATGGCAAATCATTGGCAGCCCCTCCAAAGTGCCACCTGCACATGTCCGGGGGGGCAGAGGGGGAGAGCCACAGCAAGCCAAAATGGCCCCTGTGCGTGGTGGGTGGGGAGAGTGGCTCGAGAAGGCAGGACGCGCTCCAAGGGAGCAAAGCTCAGGGCACCCAGGCTCCATTTAGATGCCAGGAAGCACTTCCTGACAGTCAGGACCCCGAGGGCATGGAATGGGCTTCCCCGGGAGGTGGCTGAGGCCCCATCGGAGAGGGTGTTCAAGGACAGGCTGGACGTGCACATGGCGGGCATGTCGTGAGCGGAGCCGGCTGGAGCCAGGGGTCAGACTGGATGGCCCGGGAGGCCTCTTCCGACTCGCTCTGTTTCTGTGTTTCTATGTCCTCTGGGGTGCTGCCGGCAAGGCAAAGGGAAGGGGCCGCAGTGACAGCCCGCAACGAGCACGGCTGCCGGTGGACACCCAAGCCCTCCGGCAGGGCTCATCACGGGGCAGGTGGGCCTGCCTAGAAGCAGCGAGCCCACGGTCTTCCGAGCCAAGCTCTCTCTTGCCCTGCTACACGGTAACTGTCCCCCGAATCTCCCCTAAAGCACAGCGTCTGCCTCCCATGCACTGCAGCCTGGGAATCTGGATTTTGGCCATTCTTCTGGCACGGAAGCAACACAATTTTCACAAAGTAGGCACAGAACACACATCGGGGAGAAGCAGAGAGATGAGGGGAGGCGAGCAGGACACAATGTGCTGGCCTTCTCCTTTCAACCCCGGGGACGCGGCTGCCCTGCTCCAGTGCTGCTGCTCCGTGCCGTCAAGGCATCCTTGACCTGTGGCAGTCCCACGAATGAAAGCCCCCCGCAGTGCCCCATTTGCGGCAACCCTTCTCAGCTCTCCCACATTCAGAGCTGTGGCTTCCTTTAGCGTCTCAGTCCATGTCGCAGTGGGCCTTCCCTTTCTTCTTCTCCCTTCACACTTCCCTAGCATGATCGTCTTCTCCAGGGAGCCTTGCCTTCCCATGATGCGGCCACAGGAGGACAGCCTCGGACTTGCTGCTTTCGCTTGCAGGGAAAGCCCTGGCTTGATTCGATTGGATTGTCTGTCTTCCTGCCAGTCCGAGGTACTCGCAAAGCCCCCCTCCAGTACCATGCTTTGAACCCATTCGTTCTCTTCCTGCCGGCTTTCTTCACTGTCCAGCTTTCACACCCATAAATAGTGATCTGGGATTGCAACACTGCCGAGGGCCTCGGCCTTCGTCTCCAGTGAAACACCGACACTCGCTGCTCTTCTCTAGTTTCCTCTCTGCCGCCCTTCCAAGTCTCAGTCTTTCTCCATTTTCTTGGTGCGGCCTCCCTTTGAAGTGATGACTGAGCCAAAGCATGCGAAATCTTGCACAATGCTGGTTTCCTTTTTGTTACCAGTAAATTTTCCATTGTTTTCTGCAGTCCTGGTTTCTGTTTCCTTAGTATTTCGCTTCGGTCCTGCCCTGTCTTCGGGCTTTTCACTTTCTTCTTTCACTTCCACCAGGGTCATGTCAAGCCGCTGATGCTTTCTGGCAGCAATATGGCATCCTCTGCATATCTCAGTGATGTTTCTTCTGCCTGTTTTCACTCCTCCTCTACTCCTAATCCAGCTTCCCCTACCACAAGTGCTGCATACAGAGTGAATGGATAGGGAGTTAAAATGCCCCCTTATCCAAAGTCTTTGCCTACAGGAAATGATTCTGTTTCTCCATATTTGGTCCTGAAAGTAGCTTCTTGCCCCTGATACAGATTATGCATCAGGACAATCAAGTTCTGAGGCACACTATTTCTTTCAGGACCACCCACAGAAACATAGAAACAGAGTGAGTCAGAAGGGGCCTCCTGAGCCAGCTACTCTGACCCCAGCTCCAGCCAGCGCCAGCCCTACCCCAGTACTGATACCAAAACCAAGGCCGTATCTAAAGCCCAGTGAAGTGCTCTTTCAAGGAAAAAAAGAATTACTTTCTTGCTTTCCACCTGCAGTTTTCTGTTGGTATCTGTCACTTGATTCTGCGAAGAGAAAGCCACATAATTGTCTGATTAGAACACAGTAGCCACAGCTGCCCTCTTGCTGGCTTACCCAGAGCTGTAGACCCAGCGCACATGCCGCGGCCGAACCAGCCCGTGCACAGTTCCTCCCTAACCTGAGCCTACGGAGAGGAAAAGAAGCCACGCGCAGCGGTGGAACAAGTGCTGCTGACAGTGACGTGCCGGTCCTCTCGGCCCGCGCCCCCTCTGCCCAGAGCTGCCTCTTAAGACTTGCCCAGGCCTCCTGATCTCCGGCACTTTGCTGCATCTCTTCTCCAAACGCTTTTTGCTGGGCCACTCAAGTATTTTAATGTCCATGGGGACTGCTGAGTCTCCCGTCACCGACTGGGGGAGCTGCTTAGGCTTTTACAGGGCTTCCGGAGCCTGTGCCTCCAATAGGAAAAAATAAATTAATGCAACAAATACCTCTAAATAAGAGGCTGACATCCTTGTGCTCCAGTTTGCCATTTGCTCAACCGCACAAGTCTATCTAGAGTTCTAGAATATGAAATATGAGTTGAATAATATTGTTCACAGCAGGCACAATCTGGCTTAACCTGTTTACGACAGTCATGTTGGGAAAACAGTGACAGTCTCAGCCGGAATCTGGCACATCATCTGAATGAACAAAACACTGAAATATTTCTTCATCTATTAAAGATGAAACTTATTTGAGACACATTTTTCCTGTAGATGCAAGCTCCCCAGCAGTGAAGCACTGGAGCAGGGCCTGGGCGTGTTTTCCTGTGTTGACCTGCCGTGCTCAGACCCCTCCCAACAGTAGCTTCTCTGGAACCCCCCACATACCCCCACATACTGCAGTAATTGTGCAAGCAACTGTGGACATGGCCACCCTCCAGCTAAGTGACACAGAGCATTTTCCGGCCTGTCCGTTCCAAAACCTTGTCGTCTCGAGAGACTCATTTTTCCAGTGGGCTCCCTTTTTATCACCGAATGACACTTTCACAGCACTGATTCCTCTGTCTAGCAAGACTCACCCTTACTGAACGGCTAGCCTAGTTCGATAATTAACATCCATATTAAAATACTAACAGAGCGCAACAGGTTCTGACAACACTGGTTGGAGTAGATCCGGCGGGATCTACTGAACAGATGGTGGCCGATAACCTTTGCTCAGCTGGCTTTGTCGGCGCCACAGGCTGAGTGAACAGAGCAGGGTGACATTGTTTCTCCGGAGGCTGCAAAGGCTTCTGACAAAATTCACTGGAATTTTCATTATACCGAGCAATTCCAGCTTTCCTGTAGCATTTTTGAAATGGGCTGGACTGTCTCAACCCCAAGAGTGAGGGTTGTGACCAAGGGCCTCCTCTCAGCCTCTTGCTTTTAGAGTAAGTTATTGAAAATGATAAGCCATATCGATCCCCAATCCATGTTTACAAGTACTTGTTCATCATGATCATTATTCTACACAGGGTCGTAGGCAGGACTGGAACAGGGCACTGGACTGACACAACCTGCCCATTCGCGGGTTCCCACTTTAGTCGCTGCATCTGACGTGGCTGTGGATCTCGGATTATGCCACACTCAGCAAAAAGCCTTGCCCCGCGTCTATCAGACACCACAAGCTCACTTTAGGAAGGGTTTGCCCAAATCAGCTGCTGAAGGTGCAGTGCAGCCAATGCTTCTTTTAAACACACGTTTTCCCAATGCCCAGTTTGTTGGCTCTTTTGGGAGGTCAGTTATTATATGGATAAACTTTGCACTAGAACACTCTTCACTGTTTACTGATGCACGTGACCTCTTAAACTGACTAACAGCTTCCTGGAAGCCAATAAATGGGCCAGGGCAAAGGGGATCTTTGCAGCCAAAAAGTTTTATTACAACGTTAGAAGGACAGATGCCCACCTTTTAGAGTGCAATGGATTGAGGGCCCAGTGATACTGTCAGTGTTCGAGTGGGCCATATTTATTTATTTATTTATTTAGCGAGCTTCTATGCTGCTCCATTAGCCAAAGCCTCAGGGCTGCTCACAACAATAAATAAATACATATCAACCATATAAAAACAATAGAATAACAATATAATTGAAGACATCCTGGCCAAAGATATAAAATCAATAAATAATGTTAACAATTAAAACGATGTTTAAATAAAAAGGTCTTGGCCTGGTGCCAAAAAACAAATAATGACGGCACCAGGCGGACCTCTCTGGGGAGCGCATTTCATAGATTGGGCGCCACCGCAGAGAAGGCCCTCCTCCGCGTGCTCGCCCTCCTAATACCCTTCACGGAGGGCTCCCGGAGGAGGGCCTCTCCTGCTGACCTCAAGGGGCGGGCGGGCACGTATGGACGTAAGCGCTCCTTCAGGTAACCAGGACCCATATATAGACAGCACATGCAAACAGAGACGTATATGGATACCTGGTCTGCCATTCTTGCAGTTTATGCAGAATTTCTAGAGAGCTGTTTTCATACATGCGCACACACTTCATAACACGTGGGGTTTTTTCCTTTTCTCCTTTACTGCATTGTCTCGGTTTGATGACTTTTCATAGTAAAACGCCCGCATGGCCCAATTCCACCCTCACTTTAACTCAAAGCTGCCTATCACCAAGCCAGGCAGCCCCTGCCTCACCCTGTCTCCATTCCCCCTAAGAAAAGGCCAGAGCGTCCAGTGTTACTCTGGGCAACCCACACGACAGGCCCACTCACGAGGAAGCACGCAGGGATCAGGAAACGAGGCTCCAGAAGCAGGACGCTCGTCAGAACGGCCGCCTTTGCCTCCGAAGCCCAGCAGAGCCACCTGGCTGAGGAGCCCGCCAAGGGGGCCTTGACAACTCTTGCTTCCATGCAGCTCAGGGCCTGCCGGCCTGCCAAGCTGTTGCTTTGCTTAAAAAGCGCGGCCTCGTGCGTCGGAGCCTTGCCAGCGTTTAGCCTGCTCTGCAGGGTTTGCCACATTTTGCGTCTCTGAGCTCCGAGAAGGCGTGTCCCCGGCACGCCCGAAGGGACCCCTGCCAGCAGCTTGTGCCGCTCCTGGGGCTGTGCGCTGCTAGCCTGCGCTCCGTCCGCATCACGGCAGAGCCCTGCCTGAAGGGCTTTCCTCACCTTAAGTTTCTGGGCTTCTGCCCGGACCTTCAGGAATTCTGTGATTGCATCCACGAAGCCCTGGTAATGGAAGTTGCACATCTTCTCGATCTCACGGTCATGGTTCCGAATCCGAGCATCAAGCTTTTCCATGAAGCGCCCGTGCTCCTCGCCATCGTAGACAGACCTGGATGGAACACACGGCGGTTGGAGAACTGGGCATTTTCACAAGCTGATCTGAGCGACTGCCCTCGCACTTGGGAAGGAGGCGCAGGCAGGCGGCAGCCCAGCGCAGCACGTCCTCCAGTCCCCACAAGTGCAAGGCTCCGGCTGGCACACAGCTCGCTCCACTACCGCTCAGCCTTCTCCCACTGCACTCCCCGACTCACGAAGGGGCAAAGAATTACTCCAAGGATACGAGTTGCACGGCTGGAGTCACCAAGATACTCCGGAGAAAACCTGCACTCTTAAGCGATGGCTGTTCTTCCATCGTGCCAAGAACACGCCGTGGCAATTCATCTTCAGTGGACAGCACCCATTAACAGGAGCAAAACGCCTCACACTCAGGCCCTCTGAACCACCCCAATCCCATCAACGTCCAAGTTCTGACAAGGTATTGCCAGCATCCCAAACGCTCGCAAGCCAACATGGCTGCAGCGGAGAATGTTCAAAGGTCTGAGAACGCTTCCCCCCTGCAGCCGGACTCGGGTCTTGCCCCACCCGCCCGAGGCTGGAGCACTCCGTCAAGAGCCTCACCTCTTCTGGAGGAGGAGGAGACCGAACGGCGGGAATCTGAAGCCACCAGAGACCCACACAGGGGAAGGGCGGGAACAAGAGATGCTCCACGACATCCAGAAAGGTGGGAGGGCAAGAGGGCCAGGTGGGGGCTGGGGGTCCGGCTACTGGGAGAAGCTGGAAGGGGACTGAAAAGGGAAGTGGCAAAGAACGACATGCTGAGATGCGAGGAAAGATGGCCGGAGCACCTGGAACGTGGCAGCCAAAGGATGACACCAAGACGATGCCGGCGGGTGCGCAAGACAAGAGCGTCCCGACGCTGAGGCTGGCTGGGAGGGCGTACGTGGCACGGCGCAACCGGAGGGACACTGGCTGCAGCACCACCTGGTGTTTTCAGGCACCGGCATGTCACCAAAGGACCCTGCTGGCTTATTTTGGTGGCTCTGCTCCCACCTGTCTTCTAACAGGTTCCTGGCGGCACAGGTGGCTCTCCGTCCCCTCGGCCTGAGTAGAGTCAGCCCTTAAACCCCTCCGCCGTGCAAGCACACGTTGCCCTCTCTCCTCACGGCCTCCCCGCCCGGGGCTTCCAGGACTCCTCTGGCCAGAGAAGGCGAGTAAAAACAGTGGTGGGAAATATTTCCCTTTCGGCCTTTTTCTCCTATTCTCCCCAAAACATCCCCCCAATACACAGTTTGGGAAAAATTAAAATATATGTAATATTTATAATCAAACCTAAAGAATGATGGATAACATACTAGAATATGAAATACATTTACAAACTAGTTAGCATATAATATGGTACATGTGAGGTATTTATAAGATTTACTTTTATGAATGAAAGCCTTAAGTTTAAATTGTTCAGACCGTTAACATCAAATATACCAAACGTTAGATACAGATTTCAAAAGGTACCCAATTATCTGAGTTTCAGCCATCCGGGAGACAAAACCCTGAAAGATGAACACTGCGGGAAACAAAGACTGCCTGCCTGCTCTGAAAAACAGCACGCGGCATGGAGCACGGCAAGAGGAGACGCCTGGAGGGCTCCCCACCACGGAGTTCTCGGGGGGGGGGTCTGGGACGCCTGCCCACACATCTGCCCATCAGCACCTCTCTGCCCGGGGCAGCCCCAGCTGGCGGAGCGAGTCGCGGTCAGCGTGGCGGGAGAGGCTCTGGGATAAACACGCACACCGAAGACGCAAGGGAAAGTGAGGGGAGAAAGCTGTTGCCCTGAGCTCGCGTTCTCTTTCAACCTACTTCTCGAGGGTCGCACAACCTCGCAATTAAGAACCTATCTGGTTTCTCAGTGGCAGCATAGCTTGGCCTGTTCTCCAAATGTGCACGTGCAGGGCCAGAAAACTTGGGACGGGACGGGCGGTGGGCGAGCGGGAAGGGGCCCAGGAGGCCATCGTGCCCGGCCCCACCGCAAGCCCACAGATGGCCCCCCGTCCAGCGGCAGGCCAGCTAAGGTGCCGCGGCACGCACATGCGACGGACAGCCACGGAGGCTCTGCCGCGAACCCACGCCTCCCCCTTGAAGGCAGCTGTGCAAGAGCGCCCAGGCCCCCTCCGCGCGCAGGAGCACCGCGGTTGAGCCTGGCTTGGTGCGAAGGGTGTTGCTCGCGCACAGTCCTCAAAAGCGAGCGCAACACTTCGATTGCTGACACCAGCATTGGCTCTGGGAATTTTGCGGCAGTGTAACAGTTAAGAAACAGAACTTTAAGTAACGATCCAGGCATTTTTCTGAAAGAGAAAACGAGCACCGTCGGTGGGCACCCAGGTCCCCGGTCTGTGGGCTCCCTTGCCAAAAGGCTGGCCACTGACTTCATTCGGAGCAGAACCCAAGAGCAGGGAAGGTTGGGGCCAATTCTGGCATCACATGACAGCAGAAATGGCATCCGGGCTCAGAGAAGAATTTTCAATATTTAATGCCAATATTTATCTCATAAATAAGTTCAATGGTGACACGACCGGTGTTACTTCACTGGCTTTGGCAGATTGGCCCAAGAGAGGATATTTGGAGCATTGTGTTCCAGAAGTTTAAATGAGAATGTGTGAATGTACTGACACTGGCAGACCACCAAAGAACAATTTAGGGCAGAATTCACAGACTTCTAGAAGAGCAGACATGGAAGCACCCCATAAGGGTCCGACCCTCCCCTCCGAGTGAAAGCATCCTCAAGGCATCACCGCAAGCTGAAGTATTTGCTGCTGTCATACACGAGGCCACCTCCTGCTTCACTCCAGAGGGTTGCTTTTAAGTTTGGACTATCAAATGTATTCAATGAATTAATACAGGCATTTGCTTGGTGAAATCCTTACTGATTTATTTTTGAGTTGTTTTCAAGTTCTTGAAAACCTGGCGAGGACTGATGGATGCCTGCCGCTGTCCCGAAGGCGGCACACGCCAGAAGCCCTGGAGACAGAACCGGGCAGCACCCTTTGCCAGCACGGTGACTGCCGCTCCCATCAGCCCGTTAGCCCAGCCGGTGGCCAAGGATGATGGAAGGCGCCACGTCAGAGCAGGCTGACCGCTGTGGTCAGTCAACCTGAGCCTCTTTTCCAGGGTGGAACTTCCAAACGGCATCTGGTCCTCTGCACGTCCCGGCCATTCTTTGGCGTCGCACTCGCTGCAGGCAGCTCTTCCTCTCTGCGCTAATGGCACGTCGGCTGAGGACTCCCCCAAGAAAGTCGCAGCGTTTCTAGAAGGTACTTCCTCCCAAAACACACCTGGACAACCATCCATGCAACAGCCTTGAGAATTATGAACAAATCAAGATCACCTGAGGGGAAGAGGCCACTGGGGTAATTTTCTGTTCCCCCATGATACTAGAGCAGAAATGATGCCATCTTCTAAAGGCACTGCAAAAGGACTGGTGTCTCCACTTCCCATCGTGCCGAAATGACATAATCCCCTTGTGGTGAGAATTTCCATCCGAAATTTGTGCGCCTTTTATTTTTTCGAAAGGATGGAGTCTGCCATCTAGTGATCGATTTGGTTAATCTTAAACACAGCCGTCTTCAATACAACGTAAAATGTTGACTGTGTCCAGATAATCGTATCAAGGAGCAAAACGAACAAGATAATCTGCTTGTCCACCCAGCCCAGTTGCTCCTCTTGGCACAAGTTGCAATTAGCCTGGAAAGTCTCCATCAGTGATGGGGGTGGGGGCAGTTCAGAACAAACCAGGATCTCAGACGAGGGGCTGATGCTGGTCCAAGCCGGCAGTGCTTGGTCCCTCGTTCCAATGCAACGGGCGATGGCCAAGCGGAGGCGCCCTGCATGCATCGCGGCTTGCACAAAGGGGCACTGTGAAGGCAAGAGAAGAGGCTCACCCGGGCCTCTCCTCCTGCCTCCACAGACACGGCCATCCCAGCTGGGCCGCTCTGCCTCCACCCGGCGCTGAGCCACAGGAGGCAAGAGGCTCATCCAGTGCAGCGTACGGACGGACGTGGCCGGGAGCACGTGGGAAGGGAGCCGTGCAGGCCAGCTGGGCCCCAACAGACGGCGTTTCCTGCCGGACTGTGCCCAGCGGACCCACCTGGCTGCATGCAGCTAGATACACTGAAGATAGGTACATCTGCTGCTGTAGGGCAGCGAGTGACAGAAATGATCGACATTATTCAAAAAAGGGCAAACACTCCTCTGAGAGGTGATTCAGTGAATGTCCAAACATGGAGGAGAACTAAGTGAAGGGCGCCTCCCAGCACTCTCTGGCTGCTGCAGGGGGCGTGTGACCCGTGTCTTATGGCACCGATGTGGCCGTCGAGCCGGGAGAGCAGCACGCTCTCACCCACGGTCTCTCCTGCACCTCCGCTGCACTCATAGCTTCCGGGAGCTGTGAGTGTGGCCCCCGATCTGGCACAAGGCTGCTGCAGTCTCTGGGTGCCCTCAGACGTGAAACGCTGCGGCTTCAGCTCGCTCTTGCCCCACCTGCGGAGCCACCCACACTCCAGCGTGGTCTCGCGGTGCTAACACATCTGATCACGACACGGGAGCCTGTATCTCTTTCCTGAGCCAGAGTCCCTCCTCCGCTGGTCCCCCGGCATGCCACACGGCAGGGCAGCTATGGGGAGGGAGCACCATGCACTTCGGTGCTCCTCCGAAGAGCAGAGCACAACCGCTGGCCGGAGCCTGGTGAACAGCACCAGAAGAACCTCTGCCTAACCCGGAAGATCTAAGGGAAGCCACAAACCTGAATATGCCACCTTTACTTCCAAAGACCAAGCTACCAGCATGAACTAAAATCTATTTAGACAGGAGGAGGTCACAGAGAAAGCGGGAGCTTTCTCCAAGGAACGCATGTACTGGGACAACAGGATCGCTTTCTGGGGACAAGAAACGCCTTGCTTTTTGGTTCCAATTAATAAGGGGAACAAAAGCCTGGACTTCAATTAAAAGACAACAAATGCTATGGTGGTTTGGAATCCTCAGACATTTTCTTCTCAT